CAGTTAGCAGCGTTAGAACGCCTGCGACCCCAAACGTACTCCTCCGAAGCAAAACGGGCTATTTCTACCATCAACTGCTTAGGCAAACATTTCACTGAAAAAAGTAAATGTAAACTATCAGAGACGGCAGTTCTTTTTTAAATGATCCATTCAAATTTAATTCATGGAATGAATTAATTGCACCGAAGCTGCTCATCCCCTCCTTGTGGTGGTAAATCATGGAATGCTCCTCGCGCCTGTCTACCTGCCGGTTTCATTGCGCCGAAACTAGTGTTGGCTTTGACTGCTCTTTCAAAAGGCGACATTATGAGGCAGAGAGTTGTAAGCGAGACGCAAAAAAGCCATCGAAGGTAACGAGGCATTATCCATAGGATAATGTATATTTTTTCGGTCTCTCATTCCTATCGCAAATATTAAAGCCACTCGGATTTCATTATTAAGCTTACTCATTCACAACAATGGCCACTGCCATTCTCAAGAGGCGAAATAAATGATTGGATGGATGATATTTAGGGGAAAAACGGTATTTGCGACTTACAAATACTTCAGCTCCTTTGGATTGGCGTCAGCAGTGCAGTAAAAGCGCACGGTTTCATTCTCCCTGAAATATCCGCCAAGTGCTCCATCATTCGAAACGTTTTTTGTAATGCTCATATTCTTTATGTCTAGCCGAGAAAAAAAGAGGAACATGAGGACTCTCTCTTCTAAGTGGCAGAGAAATGCAACTTCAATATGGCTTTCAACGTCAATTACCCTCTCATGCCAATGCAGAAAAGACATTTATTTGTTATTTGTCTTTTACATTTTACTATTTTTTTTTAAAAAACCTTTTTGTGGGAGTTGAAAGATCGAGAGGAATGTCCGCTGCATTGCCTCCGCAGGTAAATTCGGTCTTTCGTCCACTAATGCTCCACGGGAACGGAAATGAACTCTAGGGAAGTGACTTTCAAATTCCCAATTCGACATAGTGAGGAGACAAATGTTTCACATTTCCTTCTTATTTATTGTATAAAACTGATTAAACCTTACTGGTTTATCCATCCACCGGCTATAAAGTGACCTTGAGCTAGGGATGTTTTACGACTCCGGCAAATAGCATCGTGGGGCTTCAGGCATCACCCAGTGGGGACTAGAGTTGTTTATTTTGGGCTTGTTAAGTGTGTAACTCCATTAAAGTTACTATCAAAGCCTCGAGTAATATAAAGGCCTAATTACTTGCTTTGTTATGTCGACAAACAAAAAAGGGAATGAGAATAGTTAATAAGGATAACATATACCCGTGTAAGTTGAAGGATCCATAACACGGGAGCCCTGAATAAACTATCAGTCAGTCAACAAAATACTAATTTTTTTATCCTTTTGTTTAATCTAGAGTCATTTTTCTCTTGTGAATGCACTAGTACCCTTGCATAATTTGACAGAGAGCTCGATCTTTCCGTCTTTAAGTTTGTGTACTTCGTAGTGCCCTTTAAAGTGTCAAGGACGCGGCTTTAGCAGTAGCGTCCTTGACCAAGACACAAAGAAGTAAGGAATTTAGGTTGGCTTGTTAAAATGGTAGGATAAGGAGGTATGGAATGCGACATAAAGTTTGCAAAGCCGCACAAAGACTGGGCCATCAAAACCGTCATTGCGTAGAGTAGCTCTTAGTGGAGGGACACCACAAAGGAAAGATTGAAGTGGTCCTTATGGAAGCCATTTGACGCTAATGCCTGCAACCTACCCTAAACCCTCGAGATGGTCATAATGATGAAACGGTTGAATGGAAATTGGACAAAGATTTCGCCTAAAGTAAGCCGCTCTTAATTTTTAGGCCAGTTGGGGAACGGATACCACCTTCGAGGATGGCATAGCAACAACACGTATGATATGTTGACCCATCAGAATCTACAGGAAGGCACCTATTAATGGATTTGAATGTTTGTCGCCTTAAGCTTTAGCAGCCCCTTTCAAACGGTTCCCACACACCTGACTACCTTGCTTTGGTTAAGCTTTGTGGCTAACAGCGCGGAGCAGAGTAAGAGGGAGGTAAGATGAGGCCACACATTCAGTCTCTCAATCCTTCTGTGGACTCACAATGAGGCTATTTGGTTCTAAAGACACCCATTTAACACCTCAGACATTTTGCTCGGCTGAAGTGTGGGGCGTTTCCGGCCATTAGGCCCTTTTTTAGAAAAGAATATCCCCCAATCCTCTCTCCAACTTGCTGCTTGGAGTATCAAGTTGTTCATATTGAATCACTAAAGAGAGGACATTACTCTCCTTGCGCCCTAAAACAGAAAATCTGTCAACGTTTGCAAAATCACCGGCCAACGCCCCAAAATGCGGCTTTTCCATCATTTGGTAAGGAGGAAAAGTGGAAAGGAAAGACATTTTCTTTGCTCCCTACTCCTACTATCTTCATATTTGGCCCATTGCACTGCACCTACTAAGACAGGACGCAAGGCAGTTGTTTGTAAAAGAATTTTAACAACTTTAGGACATGCCAAGTTACTGATTTTAATTCCATGCTGGATGCACTATCTGGCTGTTTCATTCAGCCTTAGTGCAGCACATGAAAATGGGAGAAAATACTGCAACTTTCTTCCCATTTTATTTGATTAAGGGTTTTGAATGTCTAAACATTGTCTTTTACCCTCTAAACTTACTAACCAAATTAGACTGAACACACAAAATTGCTTAAAAATAAGAAAAAAGTAGTCTGAAGAAGGCGAAGAACACAAATGCGTGCTTAAATTTCTCCCTTAGATCAGATAAAACCTCCTAAATTAGTAACCTTTCAATATTTCCTAAAGAATTTAAACAAGGCAGTAAAGGCAATTTTTAATCTTGGGTATAAATAGATTATTCTGGTGAAAAAAAAATAAAGCAAAACTTGTGGAACGGATAGATGTCCGTTAGGGTTCATAATTTCCTAACTTCAGCGATCACTAAGAACACTGTCGGCATAGTTGTATCGCCAAACAACCCTTGATGACAAGGGAGAAAGTTTGTTATTCACTTTCTTTTGATATTTCCCCGTATATTTACCTACTTTACTGGGTATACCCCATAAAAATCAATTTGCGGGGATAAATTTGACTTGTGCTACTTAAGGCCTATTTAAGTAGTAATAGACTTACATAAAACCTGAAGAGTGGTGGAAACTTTTGGCATAATGGACTGTTCAAAAGCAGCGGCGTTTTGAACTAGACACTCCAACCTCCTGCCAGACAGGGACTGATCCATTCGCAGGACTATTGTGCTCGACCCTACTCGTCTGAAAATGAAAAAAGAACAAACGGTGTCAATTTCGCTAAAAAGGCTCCCCTTAAAGCGTGTCTTACGACCTCAGCTGGTCAATCGGATATCAGTAGGCCTAATTTCCATAAATTCAGCCTGGAGAAGGAAAGTCTATAGTTGTGGAGTTAGTGTCTGTCCTCAATGCTTTCATTCCAGTCACGCTAGTGCTACCTGTAAAATTTCCTCGATCTTTCAATTGAATCTGGCTTGTGATGCAAAGACAGACCACGACTGTTCCTACGGATCGGAGGCTCCCTCCTGCAAGTGTATGTAGTCTTAACTATTGAGGCACTCTTTGTCCCTTTTTCTCTGGATCAGTTTAGGGAAAGTTGTGGAAGACAACTAGCCTCTGAGGCTGGAATTTCAAAGTAATCTATAATCACAAAATGTTTTAATCTACAGGCCTAAATGCAAGGCACTATAATTTTGGCAATAAATCCTTAATCAAAGCATTGCCTGTCTCTATTAATAATACGCAAAGTCCAAATTTTATATGAACAAATCTTTGTCGTCACAAGTTAAACAATCCGTAGAAGTTTCTTCGTGGATTTCTTAAGGGCAAAGAAACGAATTGTTGCACTCTGGTTATGAAGATTTTTACACTTTACGGCATAAAATTAGTGCTGTAAGTCAAGTGAATCAACCTTCAGTCAAGTGTCGCAGCTGACTAAGGACTGGAGGCTTAAGGATAGCAAAGGCTATTCAAAGTGGCACCGAGGCACCGCTCATCGCAGTCTGACATCCTCAGTCCCGTTTCATAATAAATTTACTTATGAGAAAAGTGGACAATCAAAGAGAAAGAAGTATTCATTTTTCGGCCGAAAATCGGAGGACATCACTCCGCTGCTACATTTCCACATACAGAAGTTTAATTCCTTTTATAATTCTTAAAGACATCTACTTCTCTGTTTTTATAGACAAAAAATGAATTAGGGAAACAAGTGGGGGTAAAATTTATGGATAAGGTTTAAAGGCGCCAGTCATAAACTCCCCTCATGCCATTGGCCGCATTCTCGCGCCCTACTTAAGTGTCCAACTTGGCCGAACAAGAGTTGTGAAAAAAGTCTCGTCTTAATTATGCGACTTGCTGTATTTTTGGAGAAGCAGTTTATGTTCTCACTGAAAATTTTATGTTGCCTTGTAAAATCTCGGAAGAATATCAAAATAGAGGAACTAAATGGTCCTTCTCATTTTACCGCATAGCTACAACACCTCAGCCCTCGGCCAGTGGATAAGTTTATTATCCTTGTCACTTATGAGGATAAGTGCGATTTTGTGGAGGGCATAGCTATCTCCAGAAGTCCTTTTTCCTACGGAAGTATCGAGGAAATGATGGAAATGGTCTTTGTACCAATGAGGTAATAATTTTCTGCATCTTCATAAATTATTTGTGATAAGAGAAGGAAAGACAGGGAAAAAACTGTCCGCCATCTCTGCACAACACATAAACCAGACATACGCACTTCGATTACATCACCTTTTGGTAGTATTTGATCAAAACTGAGGAGAGGTTACACCTCCTCACCTGTCCACCAATGCTCCGCTCCGCCCTGCTCCACTCCCCTCCCCGCCCCCTCATCACCGCCATTCATCACTATGCCGGAATGAGATCCTGGCTTTTGGACGCTCGTGTATGTACACGCATTTTAAAGAGGTGTGAGGAGGGAAAGGCTTTTTGCATAATTAAAGAACTCGTCTACAAGTGTGAATGTCGCGCTTTCCATTATGCAAATTGCACTGCCAGCTAGCCCCCCTAGCCAGCCTGTGTTGTCAGCACAGGGTGCTTCACGAGACGACGAATGTAGACGCTCTGACCCCTTGAATTACGTCTGTAAAAATAAACCCGTACCGAGTGCTTAAATCTTCTTTAGGACATTTGTGGCCTTTAGGTTTTTTGAAATCGAAATGTGACAAAAAAGGTCAGCGAATGTACATGGCCTATTGTGACGTCAAGGCAAAGTTAAATATCTTGTCAAATTTTAACGGGGCCATATAAGAACCCTTAAAAAAGGTCGTAAGTTCTTCGAAGGAGTAACGGTTTCCTCTGTTTATTCGCGTTTTATTTGATATTTATGCTAGTTGGTCACCTCATATCGGTCTGCCATTAATGTCATCCATCACGACGTCATCTGTCAAATTATCTGTCAAAAGAACTTATATTCGTTGATCACATTTAATCGCTTTCGTTTTCTCAAAAAAAATGCTAAATATGAGAGGAATAAAATGGAACAGTTCAAACTGTTTATCATTTCATTCCTATCAATGATGCTGATTAGCCTTATAAGTAGTATATTCCGAGTTTCATTCGTCCTTGTTCAGCGTCCCCGTTTCGTTGTCTCACAGGTGATAAGCCAACAAATTAACTATTTAGAAAAGTGGTTTAAAAGGATATGAGGCTCCTCTTGAAAATCTTGGTGTTACATGTACTGGCTTTTTCACCTACGAACGATTGTGACCACGCCATTGTCTTGACTCGCCATTCCGTATCGACGCATCATATTTGTCACAAGAAACACCTTTGCATGGATATGAAAAAAAGAGGCCATGATGATGCCTTATTTTTTGTGTATCCTAACAATAATGCATAATTTTGCAGAGGGTGGAAGCAGATCTCTTAGTTGATATCCACGGAAAGCCGAAAATCCTACCAAAGAGGATGGTAATACACTTAAGATTTCCTGAAGACTTGCCAAAATCCCAGAGTATGTACCGCAACTGAAATAAACAACGAGACAAACCTTCATTATCCCATGGGAACAAGCACGGCTGTCAAACCTCAGGCGGAAGAGATACCACATCAAATACAGTCAGACTGGCGTCTCTTAAGAAGGAGATTTAATGCAGCTACAAAAGCCGGCCCCTAGCCACCTTCTGAAATACATTGCAAGTTTCATCATCCGTGAAACAAAGATGCATTCCGAGGGATGAAAATTGTGGTACCACCAAACTATCACGTCAGCAACACACAACTCCGTATTCAACTAATCACGGGTCATTATAACAGAATATGGCCGGTTGGAGAAGGCGATGAAGTCCACGTACTAATGAAAGCAAGGAGAAATCAGAAAGCGGTATAGGCGGGGACTGCTCATAGGGATACCACGGGAACGGTGCCCGGAAAGACGAGAGGCGGCGAGGGGACGCAAATCTCGCTGCGGAATGGACGTCATTCACCCTCGGGGAAGAAGGGTACTGTAGACAAACACTACCCTGATCTCCGTACCCCGTTTAGAATGCTACCAATACCACATAATAAAATCTCCATCCAGTTGGTCTACTCGATGCAGGGAAATAAAGATCGAGGGGAAGAGATGAACACAGCAACCATAACACTGGAAATGCAACAAAATTTAGGCTCTTCTTTTTGTCTAGCAATCTTCCTTCTAACAGCAGCAGCAATAGGCTTAACTTACAGTTTGTCTTCAAGAAAAGAAACATTTCCAAGCAAGTAGCCAAGAGTGATAAGCAAATAAAATGTATTTTCCTTCTTTGTCTTCTCCGCGCCCTTCCCAGAGAAGGATGGGCGTTAAATATACATTTTTTTGGAATTTTAATCTATTGTTTTTTAATAACTTGGTAGAGATTCTCCCTTCTTCTGTTCTCCTCTTTCTTTCTCAGCCTCTCCCTCCCACTTTCTTATTCATCTCACGATATTTTAATGCTTCCTACTCCAGCATATTTACTGCCTCCACCCCGTAAAAGTGGAGAAGGTTATTTCTGCCTGGGCAAAATAAATCCTGTCTGGAGGTAAAAGTAAACTTCGTGTTTAAGAAATTCCTTTACAGGTAGAAATATTTGGCAGTCGTTACTTTTTTCTTTCGTAAGCCCTAAAATTACCCGCGGTACACACGCCGAATGGCAACTGATGTGTCAGTAAAGGTGAAGATTAAATGGGGAGATGCCGAGGGGTTTTCGACAGTCCCTAAAGTATAAAGAGGTAGTATTAACCTATGTAATTCTTTTACTTAAAAAGAAACTGATTTGGTCTTTAAATTATTGTGACCTTTGACCCCTCATTGAATATCCCATGAACGCGTCCAATCAAGGAATTCGGTCAATGTCAACCAAAAGGACGCTTTTTGCCATAGCAAATGTAGTAACACAGTAATGTCCGTCTTATAAAGCAAGTTAATAAATCGACACTTTTTACACATAAAAATCTGTCATGTGTTTCTTTCATTACCATGGTCTCTACCAGCAAAATGACTTCCACCAGCCTGTGGGAGTTTTAGAGGTGAAGAATGGGGATGAGGAAAGCATGGAAAACTATGCGCCAGAACAAAACATAATTAATTTCTCCGAGGGGGATTTGACGGTAATTCTTACATTCATGCAGACCACAAATAGGTTGAATATGGGAAACGGTTTACTTGAAAAGGCATTGTTTCAGCCCTTACTTTGGGCATGGGAGACGATGCGATTCCCCAACATTCCTAATTTAGCTTTTTTTTCCAAGTACAAGGGTAATTTAACACTCCATCAAATGCAGAGAACTGCCTGAGCACAAATTTCTTGCTATCAAGCTAACTTACAATCCACTAGAAGAATCCTCAGCCTCCTTATCCTCGACTCGGAAGCCCAATCCACCTCCCTCTCTTGCGTCAAAGAAAAAACGCCATTTGGGGTACTTCCGTTCAAACTGGAGGCTTCGACTTTTCTTTGAAAAGTCCTCAAAATCGAAAATGGGTTGAAGAGACAAGTCCTTCTCTACTTCTGCTGCTGGTGATAGGATCCACATTAATTTGGAGGCTGGGAAACTGGGCGATGCCATGCATTCCATGGCAATTTGATGACCCTCCTGAGCCCAAATTTCATCTTTTTGTTGGAAAGTAGCCTCCATCGAGGTGGCCAATGCCGTGGAATGTTGAAGTCGGTGAGTGGTGGGTCGTGGAGGAGAGAGAGGCCTTTCAAAACTCTGGAATGCGTGAATATCAGCTAGTGATGGATTATCTGACTGGAGATTGATATTGCCGTTTTGGAGGTGCTTGGAAGTAGCGGGTAGGGGAATTCGTCTAAGAATAAGTCTTTCTGGGGGACCTAGAAATAATTTAAAGAGGAGTTGTAAGCAGACTCATCCACCACGTCAAAGATTGCATTAGTGGAGTGCTAGAGTGCAGTTGTCGATTAGATGGACTTTTCCGACTCTTCGCCTTGCGTGGATTAAACTAGCCTCCCGATGAAGTAGACCCTCGTTCGTGCCCATAGTCTCTCCGTCCTTCTGAATGGCCTTGTTTTCAATTTTTCTCCACTCATATGCCTTCTTGCGTCTTCGGAAGTGATTTGGGGTCTTCAACAGCTTTAAATTTCCGAACACTCATGAGAGAAGGTTGTTTTTTTGGCTTAACATATCAGGACTTTGTCTTTTTGTCCAGTGTCTGCATTTTCTGAATCTTCCAAATATATCTATACCAAATTTGGGAATTTGCTTTTAAAACTATCAAAGATGTCCACCGGTGACTTGTAATTTTATTTCCTGAAAAACCTGGGATCCATTTCTGCAACTCCTTCCTGGCCTTAGGAGACGAAATTTACAGTGGCAAAAAGTGATGTTCATATGCTACTTCAGCAGTTTGCATTATTATCTCCAGAGGCTAAAGGGAATGTTGCTTTCAAGTGATGACTTGTGAAAAAAACAGTCCTAAGTATCACTATTCCCTTCGTTTCAAAACTTCTACTTATAAGTGTGTAAAAGTAGTATCCTCTACCAAGTCGCGTCCCATCTTTTAAATAGATTTGAACTTTAGCTTAACCCATGTCATTTCTCTTTACCAAATGGAAAATGTGTTTCTCGTGTAATATTCCAGCTCAACGAAAAGGTGATGGCAGGCTCCTAGGGGGAATACCAATGGGAGAGTAAGAAGGGCGAATATGAGACCGTCTTCTGGGGCACAAATCTTCTCTTGGATAAGCTTTATGACAGTATAATATATAGGGAAATCAGTGAATGGATGGCTGGATACGAGATGATTACTAGATGGATGGATGTAGAGATGTATAGGGGCTGGATGGTACGGAGTGGATACGGATGAATGGATGAATACGTGAAACTGGGTGGACGAGGTTACAGGATGGATACGAATTGGATGGGTGGGATAAAGGATACAAGATGGACGTGTATATATGGGGTGGATGAACTGTCGGATACAAGATGGCTAGATGAAAGGATAGATAAATGGATGAACGGATGGCTGTGGTATAGATGGACGGACAGATGGGACAAGTGGATGGACGGGTGAGTGAATGTATACATAATGGATCTTGTATAGGCAAGACTTTAGTTTTAAAAATCCTACCTATTCGGGACAAAGTTTTCCTTATACAAGTTTTTGTTGCATTATACGGGGTGCTATTTTTTCTAAAACATGCGCATTTCACGGTGGATTATTACGTCTGCAGTGTACCACACACCTTCAAAGAAATAGTCTTGGAACAAAAGGTTGCACGGCTAATAAGCGGTACGGTGCATGACTAGTGGATTGTTCGACAGCGAAAAGGCTGTGTTGCATCCAAAGTCAGATTCTCTTAATTTATTTTAGGAACCTCCACGTCTCTCTTTTAATCCACTTGATGCTGATGTGAACAAACAGCTTCGTCAACGCCCCTATTTGATGTTGCCAAACGTTGCGTGTTATTCTCGGAACATCGTGACAACTGTGACAAGTACTTTATTATCAAGAGAAGAAGGTCCATTTAAAAGGCTTTTTCCTTTTGTCAAAGCAGTTTCGCCCCTCTGTTTTACTATCTTACCTTCTGGGAACGCTGTGCAGAACATATGACAAGGGCTTTCCACATCTTAGACCCCATTCCTAGGGTAGACAAACCAAAACCACTGACAAGTCAACTGCGAAAAGTAGTAGAGAGAACATTATGGACTACAGAGCCGATAGCTTAACGCAAATCTCGATGGAAAAAGGTAGTCCAAATGACTTACTATAAATAGTAAGGAAAACAGTGGAACTGGTGAGAGTCTTCACTCGGGGTGGTTGAAGTAGTCGAAAGGTTTGAATTGTCACTTGGCAACTGAAGGAGGTTTGGTCAGAATTGCGGACTTTGTACACAAACAGATCAAATACGCCTGAAAGAAGTAAAGGAATCCTATCATCATCAGTAGCAGCATCTCGCCGTGAAGTAAGGCCACTACATGTTGACATTTTGGCCTGTCAGTGGGTCTCCTTCGCACGATAGCGAGAGAATTTGACAAATTTTCACAGCACCAGAACCCTTTTTTGTGTTGTAGTTGCAAAGTTAATTCTAAGCATTCCAGGCTGCGCACACATATTTTTGACATAGAGTTTGAATTTAAACATCAACCTACAGAATAACTGTGCTGATAGCTCCTTATTTAGAGTGGCGGTAAGAAACAATGACTATTTGTTTGAGATTGTTGACCATATGAATGAGGGGAAATGTTGTGTGGGCGAAATTTGGGAGCTGTGCACATCTAATACTGGTACCACCCCAAGTAGGGACACTAGTCAATAGCACCACTGGAATCCTCTTTCCCAGAAGTTAATTCAACCCGCCTAAATTTGTCAGCATAGGAGATAGAGATAAGAAGGGACTTTTTTGAAGGAGGATATAAACACTGCCACGGGTAGTGACACATGGCTATCAGAAATTCCCCTAATAGGATTGAGATAATTTGGATAAAGTGTTCGGTGAAGGGGCGAAGTTTTCAAACCTGACAACTAAGCAGGAAGGGTAATGGCCACTGGCTCTTCCGCTTGACTGAAGATTGAGTCCCTGAACACTCCATCACCTTTTTGGCAAGAGATGACACCAGGTTTAAGTTCTATTGAGGTCATGTCGGCTCTCGAGGTCATGTCAATGTCACCTCCCCTCTGATCAAGTAAAGTTACCAAATTAGAACTACCCCTTTGACTTTTAAACTATTCATGAAAAATCCACTTTTTATAATCTGGTCTATCTGCCCATAATCGCAGAACCGTGGACTATCACATTTTTTGGTGCTTCCTCACTTTATTCTTGTAAAAGGCATACCCTTCCGCTTCGGCGACATCGGATTGGTGGGGACACGCTTCACCAAATTCACCACATACAGGTCTCATCTCTCAAGTAGAAAGTATTAGCCCTCCATGGTATGAAAGAGTCATATTTCCCTCCAGAAGTGGGAATTATTGGTGACGATCGGCCTCAACTTGATCCCGTTTCCACCTTTTTCCCCTCTTCGTATGAATAGTATATCACAGTTCCCTGCAAAGTAGGTGAGGTGGGTGAAAATAATCACAAAATGAGAAGATTTGAGATTACTGCCAAAACTTTAACTTTTTTCCCATTTTGTAACAGAACTGGAAAAAAAGTGAGAACTGCGCATTGGATAGTCGACTCCCCTAATATTCCCGATCACGCAACAAATTCCCGTGCAACGGTTTTATCACCGATTTGGGTCTCTTCCTCTCTTTTGGTTGCCAAAAAAAGCCCCTCACAACTTAATTCACTTTTTGTGCCAGAAAAGGGATGTCTCGGTTGTCAAGTCTCTCTACCAAACCAGACAGATGACTGGAGGAATGTTAGAGGCTGCCGTGTTGATCAAGATCAAATCAGCGTCAAATTCTCTCAAGTTACTTGTTTTAAGACCACATTCCAGAGCATATTTTGGTTCCTGTGATAGTCAATAATTCACACCCTTGAACTTTTCTCCCGTCAGCGGGTCAAATTTGTCAAGGTGACACACAGTGCGGCTTACTGACCTGCCTGGGAGCAGGAACGACAAGCTCGATGCTGTTGTCAGATCTGGTTATCATAACCTCACAGAAGGATGACATTTGACATGCATAGCTAAAATTAGTGTGGACTCTCAACAGAGGGGTTGTCCAAGTCACGTCCGCGTCGACTTTTGCAGTGCTGCACGATTAGCACTAAACTGACTTTTTCGGAGCTGTTTTGTGTTAGATTTGTCTTTAGACGATCCTCTATAAACAAGAGCAGCTTCCTCATGCTCTCAGTAGATGAATGAGGGCCAGATAGGCGAGCGAGTGAAGCTGGAGTGGAATTGCGGACACGAATATCAAAAGGGAGAATGTACTTTTAAGAAAGTTGTTTTATGAATGCCTTTTAGGATTCAACAGACCCACGGAAATCTATCATAGACGCTTAGGTTCGTTATCTCCTCATAACTATTACTTGTAGTGTTGGCAGGAATAGAAGAGTGGATGTAGGGAGCGCTAAAGCATCTGGACCAGATCAGTACCGGTTCTTGCTTTCTGTCTATCCACGTGAACTCTTCAGTCAATCACCATCTTCATCTCGTGGTGTCATTTTTGCGCCCTTTTCGCTGACAGCTTACCTGATGCATACAAGTTGGATCACCTTTTTGCCTGCTATTGCGTTGTTAAAACCTTCAACTTGTCGACAATGCCAAAATCCATGATTTTATAAATTTTCTACAGCGATTTTAACCATTGTGAAGTCGTTGATAGACTCAACCTGCCGGGCGGCTCCTATTTTCTCCTGTCAGTCGAAAATTTATAGGTAGTGATCAAGGAGAAAAGGGGCTTTCTTCTTTGACAACCACAACGGAAATTACCCACAATTAAAGCCCTTTTAGAAGTGAAGTGACTGAAAAGTGTGTGTAGGAAGGAGGGAACTGATTAATTATGTAAATGAGGATAGTTAAATGTCATGAACTGTGAGAAAGACATAAAAGCTGGCAGCCGGAAAAAACCATTCAGGTCTTTTGTTTTTGGCTCTAGAAGTGGGGTTTTTTCATTGAAGATGTTCGGCCGCCCAGAGACGAGAGAAAGAGTAGTGTCAACCTCATTACGACTTCAGAAGCAACTTGTAGCTACCATCATTGCTAAAAGGTGATTGACGTCTCGGAGAGAAGTTAAGTAAACAAAAATAGTTAAAAGATGACTACGTAGATTAGCTTATTCCCTTTTCACTTGTTTGAATGTGCCTTTTAGGGGGGAAGCGGTTAGTGCAAACAAACCTCGTGACTGAGCGGGGGCCATTATCCCCAGAGAAGGAAATGACCTCCGAGCCCATAGAACCTCAGTTTTCTTCCACACTTCTATAACTCGTAACCAGTAAAGCATGTCCTCCGTTAACCAATCTCCTTATTCCAAGGGTATGATGACAGAGGTGAAAAAGGGAAAGGCACTGAACCTTGTGGTTTGTTCCACTTGCCATTATTCTACCTTAGCCAGTCTTTAAAAATACTACAAAATGCCAACTGAAACTGCTCCAGGATATAAACTACTAAAGATTAGTGAAAAAATAGTTTTTGATCATTACGCGGACAGGGAAGCATTATCACGCACCTCAACTCGAGTAAATTGGAACGCTTTCAATCTTGAGGAAAATTTAAATTGCTTAGAACTACGAAAAGTTGGGCCTATTTTATTATCTGCAGGTCACTTGTGATGTTGTTTTTCCGAAAGACGTGACGCAGTACAATGTAATTCGAATAGACTTTTTGTGTTGAGCCGACAGATCGGAGAAACCTCGTGCTTGATCGGACGTCATCGGTCCCCGTGGGGGCGCGGGAAGCGAAGGTAAACTTCGATTCCGCCATAAAAACTAGATTATTCTTAAAATCTAACATCATTTAATCAGTCCACCAAGACCA